GAAGAAGAAGAAGAAGAAGAAGAAGAAGAAGAAGAAGAAGAAGAAGAAGAAGAAGAAGAAGAAGAAGAAGAAGAAGAAGAAGAAGAAGAAGAAAACACCATAGAAAGCTAAGTGGGAAAGATAAAATTCTCAGATCTTATTGTAGAATACCTGGGTTTTTTAATCAGACACAGAGATGAGGGTGATAAATACAACACAAACAGTGATGGTTAAGTGATGCAGCTGTAAATAATTCTCATCTTGATCTGGAGCTACAACTCAATGGTAGAACATTTGCATACCATGTGCATGGTGCTAAGTTCAAACCCCAGTACTGGAGGGGGGGGGGTCCTTGTCTTGAATATCTATGATCATTTCAACACAATCATCTTAATTTTAAAAGTGTCACCTAAAACAGAGACCACTTCTGAGAGGGCCATAACCCCTTCTATCCTATCAGCTTGGACCTAACCGGTGGCTCCAACTGCTGTGGTGTGACATGGGCTGGGAAGCATTCCTAGAAATGTACTGTTAAAATCTACTCTAGCGTAGGTGCTGTGCGGCACTCAGTTGTCTTCAGCACTATAACGAAAGACCAAAGTACCTGACATAAACAACGTAAGGGAGGAGGACTTGCTTTGGCTCCTAGTTAGAGAACTGAGTCCACAGTTCTGGGTATGTGGAGAAGCAGAACAACATGGAACAAGCTATGCCCTCCAAAGACACACACCCCCTGGCCCACTTCCTCTCACCGGGCCCCACCCATCTTCCATAATTTCCACTGCCTCTGGATAATATTTTTCAGGGTCTGAATCCATCACTAGATTAATTAACCATTGCTTAGTTCCTAGCCCTTGTAATCTGACTGACTGAAAATGCCCCCACAGACACATCCCGGGGTGTGCTTTACTGACCCCTTTGGTGACTCTCAATCCATCCAAGCCATCACAGTCAAAGTCTTGACACTGAGACTAATGTGGTTGTGTTTCTTCTGCTGTAGTTCCAGCCCAGATCAGCAGGTTCTGTGGGACCAGAGTCCCTAATCTCCTTCTCTATCACCCAGTTTTCCTGTACCTCTCCCTCTTACTCCCACAGTTAGGGTCTCCCTCCCTGCCCTCTCTTCTACTTTATAGTTGTGATCTTAGTACTTTTAGCTAAGTAGTTTATACTCCTCATTTCTTCCTCTTGCCACACCCTTGCCTCACAGTCCTACAAGTGGAGTATTATCAGCCCCGTTTGCAGACTGGAAAACTAATATCTGGCCTAAAATTAAACAGAGAGTAAGTGACAGACCCAGTGGCATGCCATGCTCCCTGCAGGTCTCCCCAGTGTAGTGTCGACCAGAGTGGACAGGACAGAGGGAAGAGAACACCCATCTTCTCTCCCCTCCAGAAACAAAGCCTCCAATCTTTTGATTGTTGAGTATGCCTACAGTCTGCAGTGATGGCTGAGTGTGATGCCTATGCCAGGTAACAAAAGATCCCTGGTGGGGATGCACTCAATGAGTGCCTCACACTGGTCAGAATGATAAAACGCCAGTCTCCCGAGGTTGGGGAAGCCACAGGCCCTAGGGAAGATCTAACACAATTATTTCGCTATATGAACATGATGTCAAACTGCCTGTTTATACCCGTAGATCAGTGCTGCCCCAGCCTTGCTCAGAGAAGCCTTTGTCTGCGGTGGGTGACAGTTAAAGCAGGAACTGATCGAATGCTAAGAATAAGAGTGGAGCTCAGCCCTAAGTGTGACATCCATGTCACCCTCTGAGGCTCAGGAAGCATCATGGAAAGGATTCAAGAGCTGGAGGATGGGGAGAAGTGAAAAGCTGTCTCCTGGACATATGACTGTTGCACCCCCAGAACTCACAGGAGCTGCGGTGGCTACTGCACAAAGCTGGCCCACCCGCTGCCATCGAGGGTGGGGAGAGGCTCTGGAGGCCCCACCCCTCCCTGAGGAGCTGTAGGCAATTAAAGGTTGGGGGTGAGAGAGTCATAGTCCTCAGTGGTGTGGCCCCTGGAGAGCCTTGTTACCCTAATTACACGCAAACAAATAAAAAGACTTGCAAGTAGGTGAAGGACTTGAGAGGAAGAAGGGGTGGATAAAAAATAGGGGGAACATAGTCAAAATGGTGCAAGTCTGTGTGTGTGCACGAGCGTGTGTGCGCGTGTGTGTGGTGTGTGTGTGTGTGTGTGTGTGTGTGTGCATGTGTGTATGAAATTGTGAAAGAATGTTTTAAAGCACAAAAACTGAAGTTTAAAGATGTATAATGATTTTAGGAATTATATGATAGTAAGATTACGAATAAATGCAAGGGAAGAATAAACACAGGAGCCATACACCAGTTCCCTCTAGGGTGGGAGAAAACGGGTTACATCGAGAAGAGAATTACATCACGGCCTTCAGCTGCGTGGGCAGTGCTTTCTTTCATCAACGTGATGTCCCAGTGCTCCAGTGCTGCTCTTGAAGTCTCTTTCAGATGGGAAATATTTTATAACCGTTAAACCAACAAACAATAACCACCAGAAACACTCTTGCCGCTTATTATTAGGTGCAAAGAGTGGGAAACAAAATTGGATATGCACTAGGTTCTCAATTTCATAAAAAAATAGAACAAGTAAAAAAAACAGCTATAGGGCTTTTCCCCAGACTAGCAGACAGAAGCTGGGACAACTGATATTGCCCTTTTTATGCTGAACAGTTTATTGCAGTTTCCGAACTTTTGCACTGAGTGCATATTGCTTTTGGTGTCAAAATCAAATGTTACTTCTTTATTTAAAAAGATAAATTGGTTCACCTTGAGTACAGGAGTATGGTAATGTTTAGCCTGAAATAAGGAGGAAATAATTCAAACTGAGTTTGGGGATTACAGAATCCAGTTCAAGTCTTCAGCTCTCAGCTGGCAAAATTTTCTTATCTGTAAAATGCTTAAGTAATAATAATAATAATAAATGAGTATCTTTCCAGATTGCCTCAAGGGGTATTGTGGGAGTGTGATGAGATGATGTGAACCTTGCTTTTTTTCCTCTCTCATTTTGTGAGACAGTACTTGACATACACAGCACAATGGAAGGAGGGCCTGCTGTGCTTCACCGCTTCATATGGGTCAGTCCATCATGGGGTGCCACAACAGCTCACATCATCGTAGAGAGGAAACCGAAGGGGCCAGGGCAGGACGGAGTTCCCAAGAGCACGTCCCCCAACAAGGACCCACCTCCGACATTTTACCACCTCCCAGCTGTACCGTCCTGTTTTGAGTCCACCAAGGGATTGATCCATCCATTAGGTCACAGTCTCATGATGTGGTCACCTGTGGAAATACACTCACAAACACACGTGGGAGTGTGCTTCATCAATCTCCTAGGTGTCCCTTAATACAACCAAGTTTACAATTGAGTTCATTCGGTGGTTTTGTGATCCACAGATGGCCATTGGGCAAGACTGTAGTAAACACCCAGAAGGAAAAGCTGAGCTCCCCGGGGGCCCCGATACATGAGGACAAGTGCATTGTGGGAACAACGCAGGACAGGGTGACAGACTATCTGCACAGCCTAGAGAAGGGGATGTGATGACCCCTGTTGAGGGACAGACTGATCCAAAAGGAAGAGACTGACGTCATTACTATGTAGCAAGGAGAGATAAACTTTGACCTCAAGAGAATAGACTCCTACAAACCAAGCAAACACCCTTCAGACGACATAAGAGTGACATGAAAGAAACAAGTCCAAGTGTCATGTGCACCCTGCTTCCTCTCAGTCTCTCCTCTCAGATCTCTTCATTTGTATCAAAGGGTGAGATGCACACACGCCTGGAGAAAATGTTGCTGGCAGAACAGATTGAAGCCCAGATTTTATACTCAGCCTCGTGTTGGGATTAGAAGTCTGAGAGCCTGGCAATGGAACAGAGCACCAGGCAGGCAAGGGCAGTTGCCTGGAAAACAGTGGGATGCTCCAAAGAAGCCACGGCCAGGAGACACGCCGTGCCTGTAGGGTATAACTGATCAATGCTAGCAGCAGAGAGGACATGAACTCCTGCAGTGGCCTAAAGAAGGCTCAGAGTGGTGAGGAGACTCGTTATTGGAGGCAGAAGTGTGCTAGAAGAATGAAGCTGCCATTCTCTGAACTCACAGTTTTAGAATTCCTGACATGGGACTGAAGAGATGTCTCAGTGGTTAAAAGCACTGACTGCTCTTCCAGAGGGCCTGGATTCAATTCCCAACTTCCAGTGCCCTCTTCTGGCTTCTGTGGACACCAGGCACACATGTGGTGCACATACATACATGTGGGGAAAGCACCCATGAACATAAACTAGTAACGTCATTTAAAAAAGAGTTCCTGCCATTTTCACAACCCTCCCATTGTGGGAACACTGGTATTATCTCCCCCATTTTGCAGATGAGGAAATGGGCAGGGATCCATGTAATGCCTTGCCTGCAGCTGTGCTGTGGAAAAGCCAGAATTCTGAATCAGTTGTCTGGAGCACCTCTGTGCAGACTGCTGGGGGCTCCCAGGCAAGCTGTTCTGAGAGCTCAGACGTGCGCCGGTGTGTTGGAGCTAGAGCACAGGGCTAACACCTGCAGAGGGATCCCTGACAGCATTCTGGGAGCAAATCTTTCTACAGAGCAGACAGCCCTGTGGCAATGCTGAGATTACTAATGAGGGATTTCCTCTTGTGTCTTTCAGCTCACAGCCCCGCATTTTCCCGTGGTGATCAAGCTGGGACATGCCCATGCTGGCATGGGAAAGGTACGTGAAGAGCTTGAACCAACACAGTCAGTACAACCACAGCCCCCCCCCACCGACTATCTGCTGCCCTCCCCACCGGCACAGTCCCCCAGGACTCCCCCAGACTATCTGCTGCCCCTCCCCACCGGCACAGTCCCCCAGGACTCCCCCAGACTATCTGC